TGCAGAGACACGGACCCAACATGATCCCTGCAGAGACACAGACCCAACATGATCCCTGCAGAGACCCAGACCCAACATGATCCCTGCAGAGACAGACCAACATGATCCCTGCAGAGACCCAACATGATCCCTGCAGAGACACAGACCCAACATGATCCCTGCAGAGACACAGACCCAACATGATCCCTGCAGAGACACAGACCCAACATGATCCCTGCAGAGACACAGACCCAACATGATCCCTGCAGAGACACAGACCCAACATGATCCCTGCAGAGACACAGACCCAACATGATCCCTGCAGAGACCCAACATGATCCCTGCAGAGACACAGACCCAACATGATCCCTGCAGAGACACAGACCCAACATGATCCCTGCAGAGACCCAGACCCAACATGATCCCTGCAGAGACACAGACCCAACATGATCCCTGCAGAGACCACAGACCCAACATGATCCCTGCAGAGACCCAACATGATCCCTGCAGAGACACAGACCCAACATGATCCCTGCAGAGACACAGACCCAACATGATCCCTGCAGAGACACTCTTCCTCCTCAGAGACACAGAGAGAATATACCCCATCATCAGAAGTTTGGACACTTTTCCTTCTTTATTTCCATGATTATTTACACAGTAGATTCTCCCGAGGCAGAAGTGGAGTCACATTTTATAAAGTGTGTTGGTTTTATTGTCCAGTTAAACATCGACATGTGTAGAAAAAACAAAAAATGTGTCTGTTTGCTGCAGGTGTTCCAATCAGTGGGAGCAGGTAGAGGGCGCTCTTGGAAAAAGGATCAAAACTTTAAATGGAATCCAGGTGTTCCAAAGAAGCAAAAAAATCACACAAGGAAAAATATGTAGTTAAAAGGCCTTTATTTAAAAGGACAAGGCCGACATGTTTCAACCCATCAGGGCTTAGAGTAAAAAAACAGCGCATGGGTGTGGCCTTAAAGTAAAACACACCAACCAATACATACATCATGAATTTCAGACTTCCGGTCATCGCACAATCCAGTTTGTTTTCCCAGTGGGACGTGTCTATTGTCAAAGTCGATCTTTTCAAGTCTTTTGAACCATTTCACTTTTGTTTCTGGTTCTGATATTGTCATATTTTAGTTTTGGGATTCGGACATCGTAATTGTTGTGGTTGTTGGATCCAAACAGCAGAAAATGACTCGAGAAATGTGTTTGTGAACTTCATAAATGCAAAAGTGAATCAGATGTGTGTGACTCAAACCTCCGTTCAAACTGTTTCTCTTCCCAACGGAATTGAAAAATAGTGAAAGGTGAAGGTGATGGGCAGGATTGATCCACAGGAAGAACCAAAAAGGAAACATTTGTCTGACTAAGAAATCATCCCGAGTTTACAGAGAACATTTTGTATGTGGAGCCACGACAAAACTAAATCTCGCTCAACCTCGGTTATGAATTTAAAAAGTCGACACCAAAGTGAAAGTCTCCAACTGTTCACCAAGAAACACCTTCCACTGCAAAGACCAAGACGTGATGTTTGTGTAAAACCACAAGAACAAGAAAGTGCAGCTCAGTCTGTTTGTCTTCTGCTCCTCTACATTAACAAACCGGATTTTGTTTTGTCGTGGCTCCACATACAAAATGTTCTCTGTAAACTCGGGATGATTTCTTAGTCAGACAAATGTTTCCTTTTTGGTTCTTCCTGTGGATCAATCCTGCCCATCACCTTCACCTTTCACTATTTTTCAATTCTTTTCGGAAGAGAAACAGTTTGAACAGAGGTTTGAGTCACACACATCTGATTCACTTTTGCATTTATGGAGTTCGCAAACAAATTTCTCAAGTCGTTTTCCGCTGTTTGGATCCAACAACCACAACAATGACGATGTCCGAATCCCAAAACTAAAATATGACAATATCAGAACCAGAAACAAAAGTGAAATGGTTCAAAAGACTTGAAAAGATCGACTTTGACAATAGACACGTCCCACTGGGAAAACAAACATGGAGGTTTGATGTTCACTTTTTTAGAGGATCCTTCCCAGTGTGAATTGTGCGATGACCAGAAGTCCAAGATTCGTGATGTGTGTGTAGTAGAACAGCAGAGACTGGAGTTGATTAGAGGCAGACAAAGCAGGTGTAAGACCAACAGCTGTTTTTTTAATAACTGTGTTTTAATAAATAGATATCGCCCACTCCTAGTACCTGTGCTAAATATTAATCATAGTTTTACATGAGTTAAGTGGAAGTTTGTGGGAAAAAGTTGAAAAGAAAAGTACAAAAATACAAAAAGAAGTTGTAAAACCCCAAAGAAGAATCTCTGAGAGCTCAGGCCAATTAAACACAATCAATCAATGAACCTGCCCACGGACGACAGGTGCAAATGAACACGAGCTCCAACCTGGAACAAACATCTGTCCTGTCCAGGTTCACGTCGACTCACTGTCCCTGTGTCATTAAATAAACTAAAACTAAACTAAACTAACTAAAACAGAATCCTTCTTCCTAAAATTCCATTAAAAATGCAGAAACAATTTATGCACCAGAAGGACTTTTAAACCTTCATTAAATAAAATAAGTGTTTTTGTCTTTTAGCTGTATTAGTTGAATCAGAACTGTTGTGTAATTTAGACAAGTTTTCACCAAAAATAAAAAGTTTTTTGATAGAATCTTAAATATAACGTACCTGATTATAATATAATGATCTCGTACGCACATGAAGTTTACATCCTGTACATGAAACAGAACATGAACTCACCTGCTTTGTCGTTCATCACTGCACCGTCCAAATCTGAGCGGTGGAGTAGATGTGACCCGGATGCCCTCCCGCCTCCGAGGAACCGCAGCAGACCTGTGACCGAGTCCAGAAACCGTCCTCCCCTCGGAGCAACAGGAGAACTCAGAGTCAAGTTACACAAACATTTGAGACTTTGGAGCTTTTGCAGATTTGCCATTAACTTGTATTGATCCTTTGTGGTGATTCTGCGGGTGGGAGTTTGACCAAATAATAATGTGTAGATCACACAAACATTCATGGACTCTGAACCTGGGCTGTCCACCTCTCCAAGCAGCTCACCAAGGGATTCCTGAATTCTTTGTATTGTGCATAATAAGTAGAATTTGATAAATGACGGAAATGTGTCATTTTGATACTTCACTTGGTGCACTGATAAATGGATAAAGGTTTATGTTTTCTAAGCGTCTAAGATTCGCCGTGGCTCTTATGTTTAGTTAAAAAAATCAATTCAGTGACATATTGTGATACTTCACTGCACAATTCTCAAATCGATTCAAAATGGATCCAAATAGATTCAAATTAATTTAGTTACATTCATTATTCTCATGATTTAAATGATTATATTTCATACAGTTGTGTTTTCTTGAAGGTGCAGTTGACTGTGTTATTACAAGTAAATATTGATAAATCTCAGTACATCATCCAGCCGACAGGACTGATCAAAAATAAAAATATAATACAGAGGCTCATTTTGCCTCTGAACCTGGAGCAAAGACTCTGGTCTGATCCACTTTAAAACAACAAACACGAACATTAAAACAAGTCTATTCCTCCTGACTGGCCTCTGCAGCTTCAGGGTTGTGGGTTTGATTTCCAGCCCTGATAATTTATTAAAATGTGGCCTCCAGCCTCTGTCTGTCACATTCAGACTCAAAGATGTGAAACGTTGGTCACTACAGAAACCGAGTCAAACTGGACTTTTGAGAGGATCAGGCAGGAGCCGCGCTCAGTGTGACGCTGTTACACAAAACACTGACAAGATTAAACTTGTAACTTATTAAACTTGTGCAGAGTCTGTGCAGACACCAGGAGCTTCTGCGCCCAGAAAGAACCAAAACAGACACGTGTGAAACTGCAGACTCTGCTCAACTTTACCCACAAACTACATCATGTCACTGTCAGTTATTTACTGTATTTAACAGAGAAACTACCAAAAAAAAAAAACACTCAACTTTATGTACTGGTACAAAACTGTCTGAGCCAAAGTGAAGAACTGTAAGATCTGCTTTAGTATCAGTCATTTATTTGATCCATGTTAATCCCACGGCAGCAGAGTGGTCGGCTGATTTTGTGGCTGCTTCACACAATGAGCAGTTTTTGAACCTTTTTGTGTCTTTTAACATCACATCATCCCCAACTAAGAAGTGCAGCAGGTGGAGATGCACAGGACACAAGTGAGGGATTATTTTTCACACCGTATGTAGAAGCAAATGTGGCAGAAGATCCTGCAGACTGAATATTTAGAGGAAATGGACCATTTCATCACCAAATGAAACACCGGAGCAGAGAAAGAGTGAGGTTTTTCCTGTTGTGTTCACCTGGCGCCCCCTGGAGGCTGCTGTGATGCTGCAGACACAGAGGAAGGACACTTTTGGCTCTTCCTCTCCTCAAAGTGCCCTGACACAGACCTGCTGACCCTCCTCCTGTTAAAGTGCACTCAGACCTTCGACTGGGACACAAGGTGACTGAGAAGTGCAGTGTGATGTTGCTGCAGCCAAACTTGAATTTTCCTCAGGATAGTATCTCTGTCTCTCTCATTCAAAGTCAAAATTTAAACTCCATTATGTCTTGTTATTTCTCTGTTATGTTTTCATTTTGGAACAAATACAGTTTTTGCCAGAGGAGTTCACTGACTCGTCTCTTTCACCAGAGTCACAGAGTCACCTTCTGTCCACAGTCTAAACCCTGGAAACAGAGGCTCAGAGAAGGACGAGGAGAAGGTCCAGATGTGGAACAGTTCTCCATCAGAGGAGACGTCATAGAAGGACAGAGCTCCAGCCTCAGAGTCCAGGAACAAGGCCACTCTGCCACAGGGCACACCCTCTTTAACACAGGGCAGGCCATCTTTAACACAGGACACGCCCCCTTTACCAGAGGACACGCCCCCTCTCTCTGAGCGACAGCGCACGGGGAGTCGTGTCGAGTTGCTGTTGTGAGTGACGTAGTACTCTCCACCGCTAAAGATCCTCAGACTCCAGGAGTGATCGTTGTCTCCAAACACACACTCCCGTCCCTCTCCTCTTCGTCTGATCTTTCTGTAACTCACTGCTATAAAAACATCCCCGCTCCAGTCCACCTCCCAGTAACAGCGCCCCCTCAGGCCAGTGCAGCTCAGGACCTGAAAGTAGTTTGTGAACCTGTCGTCATGATCTGGATACTCCTGCTCCTCCTTCGCTCGAGTCACAGTCCGATGGTCCTCAGACAGAAGCAGACGTCTGTGAGCTGAGTTTGGGTCCAGAGAAACGTCACAGGAGTCTGAAACACAAACACTTCACCTCAGTCTTTTGTCCTGACTGTTTAGTACAGGGCACCTGCCATAAACAGTATTGGACACAGTGTCTCAGACGTTTGAGAGGAAAAGTAAAAAGAAAGGCTGATCAACACAGTCGTTGCTTGTACAGTTCTTTTGAAATCCACAAATGTAAATTTAATATTTGTAACTTTCCAATGAAGGAAAACTGGGTGAGATTTGAACCATTTGAAACAGAGTGAATGACCTGAGTGAATGACCTGAGTGAATGACCTGAGCTGTTCTCTGCACTTTACTGTGTGAAGGAAACAAAACAAACTCACACTTCCTCAGACCTGGAACCATCCAGCGCTCTCCAGCAGGATCCAACCTGAAACACACAAGTCCAGTTTAGACCAGACCAGGACCAGACCAGGACCAGACCAGGACCAGACCAGGACCAGACCAGACCAGACCAGACCAGACCAGGACCAGACCAGGACCAGGACCAGGACCAGACCAGGACCAGACCAGGACCAGAGACTAGGACCAGTGCAGTCTCACCTGACAGACAGCAGGGGGCGCTGGTCCTGTAGAGCGGTCAGGAGCTCGGCGGAGGGTCCTGGATGGTTGTAGCTCAGGTCGAACTCTCTGAGGTGGGAGGGGGCGGAGCTCAGAGCTGAGGCCAGAGCAGCCCCGCCCCTCTCTGAGACCAGACATCCAGACAGCCTAAAGACACAGCATTACACTCATGTGGACACAAGGGGGCAGAGTGCATCATGGGAGCGTCTCACTGAGCGTCTCCAGTCCTGCAGGGGGCGCTCTTCAGTCCAGAACACAGCAGCTCCACTCCTGAGTCCTGGAGGTCGTTGTGACTGAGATCCAGATGTGTGAGACTGGAGGAGCTGAGGACTGAGGCCAGAGGAGCACAGCTGTGAGGAGACAGACCACAGCCACAAGACTGAGGACAGAGAGGACATTAGAGACTAGAACTCCACAAGAGTTTAATACAGTCTGAGGACAGAGAGGGACATTAGAGAACTAGAACCTCCACACAAGAGTTTAAATACAGTCTGAGGACAGAGAGGGACATTAGAGACTAAAACCTCCACACAAGAGTTTAAATACAGTCTGAGGACAGAGAGGACATTAGAGACTAGAACCTCCACACAAGAGTTTAAATACAGTCTGGACTCACAGGGCTTTGGTGGAGGCTCTGACCACCGGCAGCAGACCCAGGAGAGCGTTCTCTGAGGCCTGGTATTTCCTCAGGTCAAACTCCTCCAGGTCTGAGTCTGAGGACAGTAAGATGAAGGACAGAGCAGACACTGAGCAGGAGACATGGTTCCATCAGAGAGGTATCTCCTCATGTTCTTTCTGTATCTCCTGCACCAGACTTTGGTCGTTGAGCTCGTTCAGACAGTGGGAGCAGTTCAGACTTCTCTCTGCAGACAGACCCTCTTCATCCAGCTTCTGTTTGATGAACTTTACTGTCTCCTGATTGGTCGGGTCACTTCCTGTGTGAGTCAGCAGACCCTGCAGCAGGTTCTGATTGGTCGGCAGAGACAGCCCCAGGAGGAGCGCAGGAACAGGTCCAGGTGTCCGTTTGGACTCTGTAAGGCCTGGTCCCACAGCAGAGCGGTAGAAGGTCTCAGGGTCTGGACTCTCAGAGGAGTGTGGTGTCTCCAGCAGGTTCTCTCCAGAGCTGTAGAAGGTCTGATGGACGTGAAGAGCAGCCAGAAACTCCTGCACACTCAGATGGATGAAGCAGTAGACCTTGTCCTGGTACAGGCTGGCTCCTCTCTAAAGACCTGTGTGAACACTCCGGAGTACACTGAGGCCGCTGCAGCGTCCAGCCCACACTCGCTCAGGTCACTCTCGTAGAAGATCAGGTTTCCTTTCTGCAGCTGCTCAAAGGCCACTTTTTCCCAGAGACTTCACCATCTCCCTGGTCTCTGGAGTCCAGTGAAGGTCCTCCCCTGATCCCTGCTGATACTTGATGTTCTGGACTTTGGCCTGCACCACCAGGAAGTGGACGTACATCTGTGTGAGAGTCCGGGGCAGCTCTGGTTCTGTTTGTTCCAGAAGCTTCTGTAGAACTTGGAGAGGATCCAGCAGAAGATCGGGATGTGGCTCATGATGTGGAGGCTGCGGACGCTCTTGATGTGGGAGATGACGACCGTGGCCTGGTCTCTGAACCTCTTCCTGAAGTACTGCTCCTTCTGGGGTCGGCGAACCCTCGCACCTCTGTCCATGGAGACGCACTCAGCAGGGATCTGATTGGCCGCGGCGGGGCGCGTGGTTATCCAGAGGAGAGCGGAGGGAAGCAGGCTCCCCCTGATGAGGTTCACAGCAGCACGTGCACTGAGGCGGACTCTGTGGGGTCGCTCAGGACCCGGGTTGGGCCGAAGTCCAGAGGAAGTCTGCACTCGTCCAGACCGTCAAGATGAAGAGCACCTGGAGCTGTTGGAAGCTGCACAGATCTTTGGATGGACTGGAAGTGGTGCAGCAGCTCCACCAGGCTGAACTGTGTGTCTCTGAGCACGTTCAGATCTCTGAAAGTGAAGGGGAACAGCAGCTGAGGTCCTGTGGGCCCGGCTTCAGCCCAGTCCAGACAACTTCTGAGTCAACACTGTTTTCCCCACGCCGGCACGCCTTCGTCAGCACTAATCTGATTGGCTGTGGTGAATGTGGGCGGGGTTTAAAGAGCTCTTCACATGTGATGGTCTCTGGAGCGGCCGGTCTCTGGACCCGTCTCCACGTGTCTGACCTCATGTTCTGGTTGACCTCTGAGGCCCGCCTCTGTGATGTAGAGCTCTGTGTAGATCTGGGTCAGGGGGGCGGAGTCTCCTGCTTTAGCACCGCCCTCAAACACACGAACTGAACTCTGCTGCAGATCACACTTCAGTTTATCTCTGAATCCAACTTTTACTCCCTTTAAACACACAACAAGAGTTTAGAATGTCAAACATGTCACATATTTCATACAGGAAGGAACTGACACACGGGGAGGGACCTGACACACAGGGAGGGCACCTGACACACGGGAAGGGCACCTGACACACGGGGAGGGACCTGACACACTGGGAGGGCACCCGACACACGGGGGGCACCTGACACACGGGAGGGCACCCGACACACAGGGAGGACACCTGAACACGGGAGGGCACCTGACACACGGGGGGGCACTGGGAAGGACCTGACACAAACCGACACACGGGGAGGGCACCCGCACACAGGGAATACAGGAGGATGGGGGGCATCTGAGGTTCTTACTGTCTCTCAGGCGCTGGGCAGATGTTCTGTCCATCCTCTTCAGAAGTCCAGGGTGATGTTCAGAACCTCTCTGCTCTCCTCCTCCTCACTCTCGGAGCATTCTGGGTAATCTGAGGCCAGGAGCCTGTGGAGCCTCTGCAGCTGCTGTTGGACAAACCTCAGGACCTGCTCCTCCAGACCTGGAACCACACACTGTGTGAAGAAGTGTTCTGGTGTGTCACCCACAGCTCAGCTCCAAATGAAGCTCATGGAGGCCAGCACTTAGAGCGGCTCATCTGGAACCAGAGCCTCAACAAACCATGATTCTGTTATGAATTATTCTAGACATTTTTTTCCACTACAGTCGAGTCCTCACCTCCTCACACTGTGACGAGCTGTGAACATGACTCAAGTGTGTTTTTGTGATATTTAGAATTAAACTAAAACATACATAGAGCTGCACTTTACATTTAGAATTAAACTTTACATTTAGAATTAAACTTTACATTTAGAATTAAACTTTACATTTAGAATTAAACTTTACATTTAGAATTAAACTTTACATTTACACTGTAAACTGTGACACTGATCTGAACATCTGAGAAAAACAAACATCGTCACAAGAAACAGATTAATTTACACATGAACATGTGTGTGACACGTGTGTGTGTGTATAGTGTGTGTGTGTCTGTGTGTGTGTGTAATGTGTGTGTGTGTGTGTTTGTGTTCAGACCTGGAAGATGGAGTCCAGCTCCGCCTGAGGCTCCTGACCAATGGGAAAACTCAGATCCTCGTGTCTGTCGACCAATAAAACCACAGTCCTGTTACATCCCATTTGCCTGGTTTAGTCTGGTTCAGTCTGGTTTAGTCCTGGTTTAGTTAGTCCTGGTTCAGTCCTGGTTTTACTGGTTAGTCCTGGTTTAGTCCTGGTGGTTTAGTTTAGTCCTGGTTTAGTCCTGGTTTAGTCCTGGTTTAGTCCCTGGTTTGTCCTGGTTTAGTCCTGGTTTAGTCCTGGTTTAGTCCTGGTTTAGGTCCTGGTTTAGTCCTGGTTTAGTCCTGGTTTAGTCCTGGACCTGGTTTAGTGGTTTAGTCTGGTTTAGTCCTGGTTTAGTCCTGGGTTTAGTCTGGTTTAGTCCTGGTTTAGTCCTGGTTTAGTCCCTGGGTCCCTGGTTTAGTCCTGGTTTAGTCCTGGTTTAGTCCTGGTTTAGTCCTGGTTTAGTCCTGGTTTAGTCCTGGTTTTCCTGGTTTAGTCTGGTTTAGTCTGGTTTAGTCCTGGTGGTTTAGTCTGGTTTAGTCCTGGTTTAGTCCTGGTT